TGGTGCTCCGCTTTAGCAAAGAAGCTGTTGTTGCTTGCATTTCGATGCTTAGGATGGGTTCTAGATCCGTCTACCATGCAGCATGACATCAAGCTTGCCCAAAACTGCCCGCCAACATCCGCATGACTATGACATGGTTGTAGGCCAACTCCCTCTACCAAATGATTTTGACTATACTCGGAGATTCTTATCAGACCTGGCCTATCGGCCAAGGAAGGCCTCCGTTACAAGCAGGCCCACTTTGAGACACTTCGGATCGATATGGGCAGTTCTCTAAGCTAGGGTCCCTTTGGGGTCCCCAATATAGTACGGCACCCTTCTAAAAAGGACCCCGAAAGGGACCCTAATTTAGAGAACTACCCATATGCTCTTCATGTGAACAATCCTGGCAGTCCCTTGTGAGATTCACAACTGCATCTGCCAGCCTTATAGGAGGGACCCTGAAAAGGACCCTCACTGTACAGAGCCCACCCCCCCCTTGTGGGTAGTTCTCTAAATTAGGATCCGCGTTAGGACCCTGACGTGCCCATCTCGAAGCCTGATTAATGCCCTTTATAGAAACCCTCTAGAAACGTTGAGAGATCACTTTCCGGAAGGTCCCCTAAAAGGGACCCCTAAGACCCCAAACTAAACCCTATAAAGCCTAAACCCCTAAACCCCTCAACCCCAAACCCTATAAGCCCTAAACCCTATGAGCCCTCAACCCTACTCCTAAACCCCTCAACCCTAAACCCTTTAAGCCCTAACCCCTCTAACCGCCAATAAACCCTAAACCTTAAACCCTAAACCCTAAACCCTAAACCCTATAAGCCCTAACCGGCCCTAACCGCCAACCCTAACTCGATGCCCTCTTCGCTATCAGCCCGGGAGCTTCTCCCCCCAGTGCTTCATTAGCCACTCCTGGGCTCCAGGGATTCCTAAGCATAAGCATTTTATAGGGATATCCCTACCTTATTGGGGCTTCATTATAAGGGGATTTATATGGGACATCCCTATCCTAAGCCTTATAAGGGCTTAGGCTTGTCTTAAAAAGGTCCCTGTAAGGCGTTTGTGTTCTTCCGTCGTGTACTTTATCTCTACTTCCTACTTTTGAGGGCTCGTGCTCTTGCTCCTGCTTTGGCTCTTGCTCCCCGCGCTAGCTTTTGCTCTTGCTTCTGCTGCGTCTGTTGCACCTGCTCCTGCTCTTGCTGTTGCTCCCGCTTTTGCTCCTGCTTTTGCCTGTGCTTTGCTCTTGCTGCTGCAATTGCTGATGCTTCCGCTTTTGCTCTTGCCCCCGCTCTTGCTCTAACTCCTGCTCTTGCTTCTGCTTTTGCTCTTACTGAGCTCCAAGGGTATTTGGAGCTTCGAAACCCTCCCCTAATTCAAAATAGGGTTTAAATGGCAGGGATGATTTCGGGAGGATTCGCCCCAATGTGTTTTTATTATTAGGGTGTCGTGATAGAAAGGGGGGGCACATTAGGATGCTTTAAGCTTTAACCTCAACACCCTTCTATTATGCCCGAAACTGTAAACCCTAAATCCGAAACCCTACAACCCGAAAAGCCCACAAACCTCTAAACTGCCCGAACCGTAGACTCGGGGCGGGCTTTCAGGGCTCCGTTTCTTCGGCATGGCTGAGGATTTCGGGTTTGCTGGCCTCTTTGTAGGATTCCTTTCAAGGGCTCCACAAGAGCTGTGCGAGAGGGATATATATATTTGATGGGCCTGAATACTTAACAGACAGATTCGTGTGAGACCGTCTCCTTCTACCAAAGAAAATAATCGTCCTACCTGTGCATGGTGGTTCCGCAATATGCCTGCGCCGGGGATTTCACCAACCGCAAGCCTAGCAAAGCGAATAATAAGTTTTAAGCCCAATCCCCGGCACCTGAAAGAGACGGGTCAACCGTCAAGCCCACTCATCGTTTGGCGGTTGTATTTATTACGTTTTGGTAGCATGGGCTTCGCGGCTTGGCAGTGGCAAGCGTTAATGAGTCATGTCACATGTGAAGCCCCTAAAGTTGCATTTCGGTGAAAACGCATAAGGCTTTACGTCTAGGTCGGAATGTCTGTTGAACGTCCAACTTACATAATGTAAGCATCTGATCCTCCAGTCAGGCCATGCCTGTGGCTCAAGGAGTGCAGCGATACATATCGAATCGGTCTCCACAACGTGTCGTCACTTCGCGCTGCAAATCCATAACACCCAACGCAACACGTGCGTAGGCATGTCTTCATCAGCCCAACACCAAGGAAGCCACCAGTGATTGCGAAGTGCTTGAAGTCCCCTATAAGCCTACTAAGTCGTCTTGTGAAACCCTGGAACCGTGAGTCAGCAACTCTTCATCTGGCGACTGATATTTTTGGAGCCGCGAACACGCAAATGCCGCGCAAACATGTCCAAAGCGCTGCCAAGCAATCCCGGTGTCTCCGATGACTCCGACATGTTTTTGATGCGCAAAGCAAGACGCAACATCGTGCAGCAGTAAATTCGAGCAGTCAGAATCTTCTGGCATGCATTGTCCGACGTGTTGCGCTGCAACCAGGATAATTCGCACCAGATTGCAAGGACACTTGAAGCAGGAATGACAACCTGACAATAGTTTTATGATTCAGGTTTGGGATCCCGTCTGAATCAGGGCATTTTAAGTTGAGGTTCGGGTTCGTGAAGACACCAATGAGCACGGGGAAGTGCACGAGACATTCAGGGAACTCCTCGTAAAGCGCGAGTGGTCTTCCCCAAAATCCTCCCATCTCTGTTTACGAGTGCAAATCCACAATTCCTTGTAGGTCTCTGGGCCGCAGTCTTCGTTTGACTCGTGAGGCTGGAAAGGCTACAACAACATTCGGAAGCAAGCCGTGGGCGTCGCATTTCAGGTCCGAATGCCCACTTCACACAGACCCTGAACCCTAAGTTATACCGTTTAAACCCCAACCCTGAGAGCCCAAAGCTCGACCCGTCAAGCGATGGACAGATAGACAGAGACGCCTTACTAGAAACATGAAGAGAACTTTCTCAATAGAAGGCCTCACGCAGGGAATGGGGTTCCGCTGATACTGATGGGAAACTACCGAGGCAATCGAAGGCACCGAAAACTGCAAACAAACACGCGCGGCATCCCTGCCAAGCTTCTTGCAAATGTTTTCCTGATGTCAATGTCCGGACTTCCTGCAGAGTGTGCACGTGAGGCTACTCTTTTCGAGCTGCAAACTTTTAAGCATTCCGAAAACCCAAAAGTGTCGTGTGAAAAATGTTTCATATAAATATAAATACAGCTTTAAACATAAACATGTATATTTGTAGGTACATATATGCGTCTGCATACATAAATATATATATATATACATATATATATATATAGATACATACATATATATATATAGATACATACATACATACATACATACATACATACATACATACATACATACATACACACGTACATACA